GCGTCTTATACACCGGTGCGTCTTATATTCCGAAAAATACTGTAATATTATAATACCACCCACAAAACGTAAGAATTTTGTGAAAAGATATCAACTACGTATATGTAGTTTCGAGACGAAACTTAAACCCAGCTTAAACAAAAGAGCACCGACAAAGAGTGTGTATAATCAATTATTACACCGACTTGATTTTAAAAGTGCTCGCTTTTGAATAGCTTGTTCCTGAGGAATGTAGATGGCATTGGAAATATTCAAAGGTTACGGAAAACATCGCATGCGTCTGGCTTCTAGCTTCTCCAAGTAAGGTCAGGAAACATATTACCTCGAACGGTTTAGGCCTCAACAGTATAGATGACATGAGATAATTCTTCTGTGAATTTGCCGTTGCGTATCAGCAGTTTACAGGGTTATCTATCTGTGAACAACCGTACAACTCTGCTATGTAGATATTGGTAGTTACTTGATCACGTTGAAATTACAGCCTGCGGAATTTAACTGTCTGTGTGTGGTGCTCATTATCTCATCACTTTTTAGGAACACTCTCGCTACCAGCGAGTATCACTTCTGTACTTACACAACATCCCTGTCACGTGCTAGCAGAAATACTCACTAAGGTCGAACTTGAATACAGGAAGGCATGGGAGCAAGACTATTTCAGTTTGTTGTTTTCACTTATGGATTTACCAACAATAGTGTGTGGATACTGTTGTGACATTACTTCCATTGTCGATCCAAAGTGGGATTAGATGCACACACATATAAAAAATAATGCATACATTTCTGTCTCTGAAAAGTATTCATGCATTAATCTCCTAAAGAAGTATGTATATAAAGTAATAAAATAAGCAAAAAACTCGTAAGATTAAAAGTATAAAAAATTAAACAGGACTATTATAACAGTATAACACTGAAAAGTTGTTTTCGACGAGAAAGCATGAAAACGTTATTGAAATAAAAAGTAGTTTAAACATTTCAGTAAAAGTGAGTGCAGTGTGCTTTACCTCTAACAATATATTGTAGACTATATCATTTCACGAAAAGGGGCTGAAAGCCGCCTAGAGGGGTCACCTGTTATAATCACTCGCACCACAATACAGTGGTGTGTTGTCTGTCAGTCAGTCAGTAGACGCCCCTCCAGTGGCACGGCGATATGTCTGCGGACTTACAACGCTAGAAACCGGGTTTCGAAACCCGTGGTGGGCAGAGCACAGATAGCCCATTGTGTGGCTTTATGCATAACTACAAACAAATAGTCAGTAGACACTAAAATGACGTCACATAAAAAACGCTTAACGTCGTGACGTAATTAAAACAATCACAAGCCACAAATCACGAGAAGAATTGTGCAGTCTGTAGGCTACAACACAGCATGACATATGAACTTCAAAACAAGAAATAGAATTATTGGTTACTGTTAATTTTAGTTTTATTTACTTTTGAAACAGAATACTTTCGGGGACCCTGCGGAATTACATTTAGTTTTGCTTACAACTTACAAGTCGTGTGTTGTGTTATGTTTAAGCATTAACAATAACTTGTAAACTGTCATTTTAACCTATAGCTTATAAGTCATACATTGTATTATATTCAAGTATTATGCAGGAAACAGTGAGTATATAACCTTGAGTTTGAGTCATAGATTGTGTGGTTTTTCAAACTATAATTTATATTGATTGAAATATATTTCATCGATGTAGTTGAACTTGGTTGGTTTTACAAATATTATTGTGTTAGATCATTTGTTTCAATAAGACAAAACTTTGTAGACGGCTGGTTTTGTGGATAGCATGGTTGTTTCAAAAAGGCGTGGATTTTTCCATACACTAAACTATTATAATATTGTTACGTCTGTGTTCGTTTGATAATTTTCCGTAGAAATTCTTTCCGAGAACTTCAGCGATACAAGTCTTTCTTAAATAAAACTAGTTTATTCTTTCTCAATTCAACTTTGCAATACACTTAATTTCCACAGTCAATTTAACTTAACACACGCTATAATTCGCAACGATTCACGCACTTTATTTACGGTCACTACCGCTCACTTGACTCGATTAACTGTGTCTATTATCTTCAATCTCTCTATCTGCAACTCCAGTTCCGATTAATCCCCTCCCGCTTTGATTGTCGGACTTATATATATTAGAATACAGCAAGTCTGGCAAACACTCGAGCCTTCACGAACCTTCTAGATACTCATTACGTGTTACCAGAGTCACGTGACTTCCGCTGCGTAACAATATGTATGTAAATTTGATTTTTCTTGAAGCGATTTGAATAAGCCACTTTTACATTCTACATTCCACCATCTAAACGCCTTTATTGATTGTTGGTGCTACCATATGCCTTAAAGATACTTTGAGATAGAATTTAAGGGGAAGTTTTTGTTGATTCCGCAATCACTCTTCATTGACAACTACACTAACTATAATTATGCTGCGGATTAGGTAGAAAAGAAACTTAAATTACGTATTTAATCGATGCGCAGAGTTCATGATCACACAATCTATATCTAAAATACAAATACACTTTGCAACCATAGCTCATCGCCACATAAACTATCTTGATTTTATCATAATTTCATATAGTCCTAAGCCTAACAAATTATCAAACCTCATAAAATTTTGATTTTTGCCATACATTTAAGATCAGATGTTGTTTTTCGAAATCCGTCAAATATGATGTCGAGTATTTATATAATACATACAATACTTTTCTCGCACAAGCGAACCGATCACAAACTTTATTTCTGCACTTGAAGCTAGTGACTAGATATATTAGCTATAATATCTCAGCTGCGACGATAAGAAACCCCATCGGCTCATCATGCTAGTCTATGTAAGCATTCGAGTTGAACATTATTAGAATATAATACGATGCGATTCCTCATTGGTGTAAGAGCGACGTCGCGTGCATTGTGTTTCGTGATTGGCTCGCAATGCGTCTCTACGGTATGTTTAAAAAAGGAAAGGCGGTCATCCAGATATTGTGGCTGTCATGTACGAAACAGATTTATCACATGCTTATACACGTCAGTCAGGCTCAGCTTGAGAGCTTGACAACACGCGTTTCGAGACTGTCACAGGTTATTTGAACGTCTGCTTCTTGTCAGTGTCCACTTGCCAGTATTTCAGAACAAGAAAACCGACATCGGGCCTTCAATTTCTGGACCAAGCAATAAGATGTCTCCAATTCCAGCGATGTCCGACGACCAGACAGCCATTTCTCCAAATAGATCTCCGGCGGCGGAATTGTCTCCTATCTCTTACCCTAATTTGCTCAATTATCCAGGTCTGCCATCAGTTGGCCAACAAACTCTCGAAAAGCCAGTATTTTCATTTTCATCAATTCAGTCAATCACTTCTTTTCTTACGCAAAATGTACCGACTTACGAGCAACAAGTAATATTTCCTTTAAAAACAAATTCTTCTACTTCACCCAACGGTCTCTGTCACGACCGTCCGCGAACTCAGCGCAAACGACGTCTCAGTAATCGCGAAGATAGGGACAGGGGTAAACTTTGCGAGCCGTCAAAAGCGAGAAAACGTGAATGTCAGAGTTTTGAGGAGATGCAGAATCAACGAGTGCTTGCTAACGTGCGAGAGAGACAGCGGACACAGAATCTCAATGAAGCTTTTGCCGCTTTACGAAAGATCATCCCTACTCTGCCGTCGGACAAACTCAGCAAGATCCAGACTTTGAAATTGGCCACTCGCTACATTGATTTCTTGTACCAAGTTCTCAAAGAAGACGAGCACGATGTCAAGTTGACCAGCTCATGCAGTTACGTAGCCCACGAGCGACTAAGCTATGCCTTTTCAGTTTGGAGGATGGAAGGAGCTTGGTCGGAACACTGATATGTGATAGTCACAGGTAAGTGAGTTACTGTATGCATATTAACTATACGTTAATGTCAACGTAGTATTTCGATAAAGGTGTGAGTAGGCTGTCCCCAAAACATGAGGTCATCAGTGTTAAAATCTAAACAAACTAAACTACTTAAAATAATAAAATCCGTTCCCTTACTTTCAAAATAAATACGTTCGTCTTTCTTCAAGAATGATCTTTCAGCTTTAATAATTATTGTCCCCGGATGGGCGAACGATAAGTTTCTGGATTTATAATGCAAAAATCTGGTGTTCGATTTCCCGCCAGAGTGCATATAATCTATTGAGTAGTATTGCACTAAGAAAGTGACAACAAGAATAATATTTATTAAGTATAAATTAGAGATAGATCACGGTATCTAAGAGACCTCTTCTGTCGTTATAAAAATTCAATTAATAAACAACTGTCAAAAATTAAAGACTTCCACCGTTTACAGTGAATACCTCTGCAATACAGGAAAACATTCTGGAAAGGTTTTCAATTTGTTCTTGTTTGTTTTTTAATTTTGCACAAAGCTACTCGAGGTCTGTCTGTGCTAGCAGTCCTTAATTTTGAAGAGACAGACTAGAAGGAAGGCGGCTAGTCAACATTACTCACCGCCAACGCTTTACCAACGAATAGTGAGACGCCACACAGCTGAAAAGGCGATCATGTTCGGGCACGGGATTTGAACTCGCGACCCTCAAATTGCTAGTCGAGTAACCCTAACCACCAGGCTATGCTAGATCTTCAGTTCGTTTTATAAAAATGGTTCTAACTAAAGATATTTCACAGTTATAATTTCATTAAAATTTCTGGTTTATTGAAAGAATGCAAATGATAAACTGAATTATTAAGTTTGGGCTCTTTGTCATCTGGAACGTTGAAACTAATGTTAAACAATGCTAATTTACTGAAAGGAAGTTAAGAATTAAATGAGAAATAGTTAGTCTCAATATGAAAGCGTTTTACTTATCATAACATAAGCTCATATAGTTCAAAATTTGATTAATACTTATGGGCAAAAATTGTGTATCTACATTTTCTATATATTTGTTATACTTTTATTATATTGTTAGCATATTTCATGTCATCAATAAATATTACTTGACTAAATAAACAGCTGGAAGCATAGTGTAAACTTTATCAAGAATGTAAAGTGACCTCTCACGAGCAATAAAGAAACTACAGATAGATTTTGACTAAATTAAATTAAAGACATCTTTCCTAATATATTTAGCGATAATAAGGGTTACGATCCGCTAGTTCACATTTTATTTTATTTGACACGTATATTGTAACAAGTGCTAAATTAGGGTACAATTAAGCACATGTAATGTCAAATGCCTCGTGGGAACAAAACGATCGATAAATGGCATTATGTGCACCCAAATCTTGGGTGCAGACAATAAAAAGCAGTATAGTAATTTAAAGGCTATAAAGTAAGAAAGAATATGTAAATAAAGTACTCCTCTTTATTATCGTAAATATGTTTGGACAGTTTTACATTACCGGCTATCAGTGCTAATAGACTACATTATGAAATTACCGAGAACAAACTATCCCACACGGCTAGTGTTAACGAAATAGGTCTGTCATGGAACTTCTGTGTGTTTCTTCAGTGCAAAAATGCACACGGTAATATCCGCGCTGGGATAGGACCTCGAGTTCTGGAGTTATTAGCCATGGAAGCTTTTGAAATTGATATGTCATGCTGTGTTGTAGCCTACAGAGTGTATAATTCTTGTCGTGATTCATGGCATGCGCACGTTTCACTGACGTCACAACAGTACAAACTGCAACGTTAAGTGTCCCTTATGTGACATAATTTTAGTGTCTACTGACTAACTGATAGACAACACACTATTGTAAAGTGGTTAAAATAGGTGACCCCTCCAGGCGTCGTTTGGCCCCCTTTCGGGTTGATTTTTAGTTTTGATCTAGGGTAGTAACTTGCGTTGTCTGGAAGGTAATATTAATTAATATAAGACATTTGCATATGATTGATATTATAGCTTGTTTGTTTGTTTCGAATTTCGCGCAAAGCTGTACGAGAGCTATCTGCGCTAGCCGTCCCTAATTTACAATGTAAGACAAGAGGGAAGGCAGCTAGTCATCACCACCCACTGCCAACTCTTGGGCTACTCTTTTACCAACAAATAGTGGGATTGACCGTCACATTATAACGCCCCTACGGCTGAAAGGGTGAGCATGTTTGGTGAGATGGGGATTCGAATCCGCGACCCGCAGATTGCGAGTCGAGATATTATAGAATTCGGTCGGCATAACGAAGCCACGATCTCGTCTATTCATCAGCTAGTGGACGTTTAAGTTATTGTTTTTGTTAGTACTAGATCTGGAACAATACGTGTTGTTGTATCACTTGCAATCTGAATCACTGGCTCTCTTGGCGTGCCGGACTGTGGATCCGTTACAACCATGAAAAAAATCATGTTCTGCACTTTGGAGATGTGAGTGTGTTATAAGAGTGACAGTCAAGTTTCACTATTCAATTGGAGTAGCCTAAGAGTTGGCGGTGGGTGGTGTTGATTAGCGGTCTTCCCTCTATCTGTCACTTCAAAATTAGACACGGCCAGCGCAAATAGCTCTGGAGTAGCTTTGGGCCAAGTTCAACAAAACAACTTCTTCTCCCAGCATTCATCTAGTGATAGCCTATGGTATATTAAGGGTTGTTTGTATCATGAAACTAGAATGTTCTAATATCCGTTAGTTGATAGGTAATAAAAAGCCTGTTTGTATCATACAAATTGGATAATCTTCTTACATGCTATACATTAATGGATTCAAACAATTGAATTTTTTTCCAGCGATTAGATAAAGATTGAGTACCTTATACTAAAACGAATTTGGAGCCCCACTACTTCGTTACAGTCCATGTCTCCAATTCTGGTCATGCCCTACCTGACGACGATGCATCTTGCCAATAGCCCTGCAGCGTAGTTTACATTGCAAAAGGCCCCGTCGTACGGCTGTCATGTCTAAAGCATGCTTCTCTCTCTGCGGGCTTTCCATAAGTCATTTATTATAGGTAGAGGGCAGTTTTCTAGTGCCCATTTCAGTAGTCCGATTACACAGAAATTGTTAAGCACTGTGTCTGGCGATTTGATCGGTATGTCTTCGTATGGAATAACATGAATATTCGTTTCATTCTCCAGCTGCTTGAGGTATGCAGTGATTGAACAAATATGTTATGGAAGTGATTTGTGTACACGTAACCTGTGGTGATGATTCCAGATGTATATCTTTCTTGATTACGTTGCGTACTGTTTTCTGAGGCGTGGGAACGGCTTTTGCTACTTGTGTTCATGGATCCTCACTTGTTACAAGACGCCGAACTTTGCTTAACACGGCTGGGGTATAACTTGTTCTAGGTTTCTTCTTTGATGATCCTGGGTCCCTAAATTGATTCATATTCTCTTGATTACTAACGCATGCCTCCCAGTGGCACAGCGGTATGTCTGCGGACTTACAACGCTAGAAACCGGGTTTCGATCCCCGTGGTGGGCAGAGCACAGATAGTCCATTGTGTAGCTTTGTGCACAATTTCAAACAAACTAACGCCATTAAATTCAAGGAATATCCCCCCTGTCTTGTTAATTCTAAATATCCAATTTGAACATATCTTTGAGTCTAAGTATAATAATAATTTGCTTTGGAAAGGGCTATTACATACCTTTCCCAAAAGCGATCAATTTTCGATGACGAAAGAATGTCAAAGCGTAATTCTGATCCATTCCGCTCCACCACCACTTTGCATAAGCTGTTATCCGCACGTGATTGGCTGACTTGCACATTCAAAATCGTTTTAATATTAGTATCTATATAACGTACCCAACCCTCTGTAGATTGAAAGTATGACGTATAGTATGGTTTACCAACAGTATTTGTCCTAATGCTGTGATGACGGGAAAGTGATCTTTATAACAGCGTACGAACCATCGATAGCTTCAAAAGTGTTAGTGAAAGATCACAAAACAAAAACAAAGAACAACATGTACACACATACATTTATACACTGTTATACACACACATTATACATTTCACGTCTGTCACTTGCCGTAAAATAAATGCGTACATACGTAACAGTTGCTGTGCTACCTAATTCTTTGCACCTGTCAGTCTAATGAAGGATTTAACAAACGGTATGACAAGTTGAATTTAAGATTCTGTCAGCTGTTTGAAATTCATTACGATCCTTATGTTGTTCAGTTTTTTAATGATTAACTTCAAGGTGACTTAATCATCACGTGAACTGAGTTATCTTGTCTATATAAAAATCAGTGAAAGAAAGACTTAGCATAATTATCTTAACTAACTTTCAGAACAATAATTTACCCTATACATAATTTACCCAATAATTTAAACTACCTGGCACGCCTCTAACATCAGACTTTTAAACAACATTTTAAATTATCATCTTACATTATTACATGGAAAGGCTTATTTTCTCAGTTGCAAGTAGAATAAACACAGTAAAAACCAGTAAAGTTATCGTGTTCAATTTAACATATCTGCCTGGGATTCGGGCAGGAAACGTGGAACACTTACAAAAAGTGTCTTGTAATGCAACACCATATGACGTCATTACCACAGTGAAGGTAGGGTAAGCAACGTACTACTGGAATGCTGTTTTGGCGGTAACAACCTCCTACAGGCGGTGATGCATGGTAACGGCAGATCGCCAGTCTGTATGAAGACCAACTTGGTCAAACATGGGATTAACGTAAGGCTAAGAGATAAATAAGCATTTGTCAAGTTTGTACACATTTTAATTTTCAAGATTTTTACAGTTATAGCAAGAGTTCATAATAACATCTACTAAATATATTTGTTGGTTATTCAAAACAGTTCATATTTCTTACACCTAACAAAAGTATTTACGTAAAGTTTTCATGTTAGTTTGGTTTGTTTTGAATTTCGCGCAAAGCTACTCAAGAGCTAATGATGCGCTAGCTGTCCTCAGTTTAGCAGTGCTAGGTTAGAAAGAAGGCAGCTAGTCAACATTACACACTGCCAACTCTTGGGCTACTCTTTTACTAATGAATTGTGGGATTGACCGTTGCACTATAACGCTTTCTCGGCTGAAATGGCGAGCATGTTCGGTGACAGGGATTCGAGCCCGTGATTCTCAGATTGTGAGTCGAGCGCCATGCTAGGCCCCATCTTTCATGCCATTTTACAGTAAATCCTCTGAGCGTTGCTTTTTTTCATCATTATTGATTTGAAATCCTCAATGATCAATTAAGAATATGAAAAAACAAAATCCTTTTGAAGTCTGAATGAATTTTATCTTGAGTCTAATGGATTTCAATGCTTCGCCAGATTTTGGTGTTTAAACTGTAACTTTAAAAGTGTGGATTTGTTTTAATCAATGACGAAATTAAAGTAAGCCTTTTTTTTTGGAGAAGCGTGACGATTTCTCTAGGAAGTATGTGCAAGTATAAACTGATTTTTTTTTTTTTACGAACAGGATAGGTGTGACAAAATAAAGTATAATACGAAGAACGTCTCGTATGTGTAGTTTGGTGAGTGTTTTCCACGACTGTGACGAAAAACAGAGATGTTTTCCTTTTCTGTCATTTTTTACAGATTTTTTTTAAGTTTCATACATATATATTTGTTAAATGTTGACAATTCGGATTAGTGAGCATGTTTTCCTCTAGTGTGGATTTCAAGATTGATTGATTAGTTTGATGAAAACTTTCAGTGTACGATGTGCATGACCAAAATTTCTTAATAAATATGAAATCAATTATGTGTGGTGACGGGAATGAGTCAGATTTGTTTGACGTCATGATGGTTTGACCAGAAACAGCCCCCACTGCACTACGTAACTTATGTTTGTAGAATGAGATGTATATATTTGTTTGTTGTAACAACAGTTTACAATAAAGACTGCTCTAATAGTTAACTTCTATTTATGAAAAGGTTTTAGTACATAATTATAAAATGTACACATTGTCTCGTTTAGGATAGTCACGTATGTACACAATGAAGTTAACATTGTCTCGTTTAGGATAGTCATGTATGGGGATAAGCTAAAGTGATTTTTAGATGTTTTTAAACAAGCAATGGTTATACAGTTTTGAATTTTATGAACTGTGACATTTCGACTTTTATACTGAGGCCCAGCTTCTTCATGTCGAAGACATTGATTATACTTCAACTTTAAAATGTAATATATATGTACTTTATATTTTCTAAGCTTGAAGATTTAATAGTTTATATTTCATTGCATACTAGTTATATCATTTACCCCAGCTGTGTTTTTATTTTGTTTTTAAAATATTAAGCGCATTCAGTTAAACTTTATTTATACTATACATTTTGCCTTTTTTTTTTTGTAAAGACTTCATTACTTTGCTTTATTCATCTGTGTTTTTAGAATCTGTTAACAATTTTGATACTAAGATATCATGACTGGTTTCCGAATTCTCAATTTACCACTAAAGGGGGAACGAAGGAAGATTTCTTTGTAAATATTTATATAAAGTAGAATCGTTAATCGTTACCTCGCAGAACTTTGTTTTCGTTTTTATTTACTCATTTTTTGCCCAAGTTGTCTTTTTTAGCATGTTATATATTCAAAATAGCTCACTATGTAATACAGCTAAGAAAAACTGGGATAATTTGTAAATGTTCGTTGACCAACTTTTTTTTTTCTTACGTTTCAGGAACTCGAGGTTATTGCGCCCTAGGTGAACACTGGAATTGTGTATTGTTCCCAGGAGAATTTGTGAGTCCAGAGACAAAAGGGGGCGGAGTTCAAACAAAGCTCCATTTGGCCCACATGTATAGAATTCACATGCCAAAGTTTAAACGGATTTTCAAAACTTAACCAAAGATAAAAAAGTGGCCTTACCATCTTGAAAATCTAAAGACTTTCTTAATAGCTCACCGATAACGCAGGCCTGCGAATTTCAACTTCATAAAAGGTGTTTTGGTTTCAATAACGGATTTTCCATAATTCAGCTATGCAAATTTCGAAAATAATGATTAATCTTTTTCTATCGCGTAACGATTTTTTACAAATAGGGAAGAAAAAAAACTGTTACTTAGATCAAATTATTATTTCGTTTACCACAATGAACATTTTTTATTATGTTTGTTAACGAAAATACAAACAAACTGAAAAAAAGGAAGAACACTGATGTCAAATGAATGTGCATCCTAATTCATCCTGACTGTTTTTGTAAAATCTACGTCTTTTAGTCTCAAAACTACGTGTTGTGGTCTTTCTTTTATGTATTGCGTT